TCGCCGCTTTCGTTCCTCTGCCTTTGTTGTAGCAGCTGCCTCGGAAGCCAAGTTCAGCTGGCAGTTGTGCGTGTAGGGTGAGAACGCATCATTAAAAAGGACAGAGTGGTTACTGAATGAGACAGACACGCAGCGCCGTGTGTGTGACTGGGTTTTTTTTACCTCTAAGAAAATCTTTATCTTTCTTTGCTTCAGCCAGTGAGTGTTTGCTCTTTTCCTGCTTCCTGAGGGCGTCTCGCGGGGTCATGTATGAGCTTCTCCAGAGTGCGGCCTCCCTATGCGGGTTCAGTGCCTAATGGTATCTGGCACATAGTAGGGATGTAGTTGTCGGCTGAACAGTGAGGAATATGTAATTTAGTGAAATGACGAACGTGCTGGTCCCGAGTTGGCAGTATTGTGACTGCTTAATGTTTCCTTGACAGTTGCCATTTTGACACTGTCAGTTGTTACTTGTCACTGTGAGCTTACAAGTTTTCCTGACAGATGATTTCTTCTTCCTTGCTGGCCTCAATGTATTTCTGGTCGTCAGTTTGTTGTTAATTAATGGGCGGCAGGGGCCACCTTTCCAAGCTGCCTGCTCAGCCAGGCTGATTCGCTAGAGAAGCCCACAGACAGCAGGCTGGAGTCTTAGGCCCACTCTTGTTGGGGTGTGTGTGTTAGCGTTCTCCGAAATGTATTTTTGAATATCCTTGCAGTTACTTGGCAAAGAAACTAAGACATGGGAGTGAGGATGTGGCAAAGTTCTATATATAGAACATGTAAAAGAATTTAGCTACTTCACTTATAATCTCTCTTACATAGGAAAATTGGCACTTTTTAATAACATATTCTGAAGTGGCTCAAAGGGTAGACTGTTGTTTTGTAGTTGAGCTTTATACAAAGGACGATTGAACTTGTTATGTTAGAGAGGCGGTACCCATAGGTAAACATGTGTGCTCTTTTCAGACTTTGTTTATATTAGGAAAAAAAGTTTAAATTTATATAAACTGCAATCCACAAACAACACTGATTTATGTGTTCTTTTTTTTTTTTTTTTTGTAAAAAGGAGAGTTTTCAGAGTTGTTTATTTCTATTATTGGAATAAATTACCCCCTGGGGAATAGTGTTGTTTTTAGTCTTTACTCAATATATTTGGCAGCTGCTATATCTATGACACTATTGTGCTGGACAGAGATTATCTGTCTCCACCCCCATTAAAGAAACTACTGATGAATTAGTTGTCATGTTATACAGTCTATAGCACATTTCACAGTTTCTTAAAAATCTGCTTATAAGCGGTTTTAGTTGGTCATGTAATCATCTGTTTGTGTCAGGACCATCAGGACCAAAAGAACTGATTTATGTCTGCAGAGTGAGTTAAATCATTTGTCCCAATCTAAAGGCTGTTGTCTGTCATTGTCTTTCTTGGGAAAGTATGTTCTTTAGTAGAAACTTACGTGCATTATACACTCCTAGAGAGAGAATAGTCTGTTTCTTGAATGAGTGAACTGAATGAATGATGGTAGTTGCTGGGAAAAAGTGTATTCTCACTTGATTGTAAGCTCTCATTTAGAGTTGTGGATTTGTGTGTTTAATCACATGGAAGCCTTAAGTGTGTAACAGGATGCCCAGCACATAGTAGGGCTTAGATATATATATATAGTGAACTAATGATTCAGTGAGTTTAAGGAAGATGGTTTGTATAGGATTTAATAATTTTGTTTGATACATCATTTAAGGGTAACATTTAAAAATTGTCATTTGACACTGTCAGTTGGTAGTTGTCACCACATTTATATTTTTACATTTTATTAGATCAGTTTTAGGAAATAAGGGGTGTGTTTGTCATCACAATTCCCAGGCGAAGAGAAACAGGTCTGCAGTGGTGGTAGTGAGCAGGAGGGTAATACAACAGTACCCTCTGGCCATGGGGTTTCCTTCCTGCAGTTTCAGTTATCTGCAGTCAGCTACGGTCCAGAAACATTAAATGAGAAATTCCAGGAATAACAGTAAGTTTTAGATCATACACCCTTATGAGTAATGTGATAAAATCTTGCACTGTGCTGCTTCATCCTGCCTGGAACGTGGGTCTGTCTCTTTGTCCAGGGTGTCCATGCTGTATATGCTACTCACTTGTTAGACCCTTTCCTTGGGTTATCACATGGATTACCATGGTGCTTGTATTTAAGAAACTCTTATTTTACTTAATTATGGCCCCAAAGTACAAGTGATGTTGGAGCTGAGATTTAGAAACTGTGAAGTGCTTCCTTTAAGTGCAAATGTGAAAGTATATTTTGAGAGACCATACTGATGTTTTGTTATACTATATTGTGATAATTATTAATCTCTTTGCCTAGTATATAAATTAAACTTTATCATAGGAGTAGATATATACATAAGAGAAACAGTAGGTTTGTGGTTTGGTATTGTCTGTGGATTCACGCTTCCACTGGGGGTGTCGGAACAGATCCCCTATGGATAAGGGGGAAAACTGTATAAAAAAGTTCTCCTCAGTAGTAACATGGTACTATCCCACAAAGAGGTTTATCATTAAAATTTTGGTGTATCTATATGCAGAGATTAGGAATAGTTCACGTGTATCAGTAGTACAAATGACACTACAGACAGAGTTTAGTGAATACCTTTATGAGGTAACTGTCTTATAATTTGGAATTCAAGGGGGAAAATCTAAAATAATTGCGGCTTTTACACAATTTTTATTACCCCAACAGTTCCAGAGGACGTTTAGTATTATATGGTTGGTGTTAAGACCCTAAGAAACTCAGACATTAAGACCAGATCAGGACTAGCTGCTTAGGACCTCAGCTTCCTCTGGACAGACATGGACACCCTGGCAGGACTCCAGATTTGCACTTTTAATTTTATTGGTAACTATTGCTAATAATTTTAAGAGTAACAGAGTATTTCTGAATGATAGTAGGCACTTTCTTCATGTCAGAGTCTGGTACAGAATGAGTGACCTGGTAGTGGGAGTGGGCATGTGTGGCTGTGCTGGCAGGCACAGGTAGGATGAGAGGGAGGAGAGCAGAGTTCCTGAAAGTCTGGTGATTGTGGAACAACTCGCAGGCACCGTCCATTTCACCTCTTACTTCATGTGTATTGAAGGTGTTTAAACTGCTGCAGAGTAAGATGCCTGTGTCATGTCTCTCCTGTGGCTTCTGAAGCCCCTGGCAAACCACTCTTTACTCACAGAAAGGTACACGTGGAAAGTACAGTCCTAGCTGAGAGGGTTTTTTTTGCAAACTAAAAATTTGAGCCATGTATTGATGTTTGCATGGTGATGGTTAAAGTTAATGTGGATACAAATATTTTATTTTTATCTGACTTGTTTCACAAATAGTAGGTAATAGCATACAGAAAAAGCATCTAACAAATGGGAAAAATATAAATAAGATGTTCACATTACAAGCCAGATAAAATAGCAGCCAGAGTCCTTAGGGAGTATGGGGGTTAGAAGGGACGGCACAACTAAGCCCCAGGAGACTTCTTAGTGGAGCGTGGATTTTAGCTGAAAGCTCCCTCTGAGCCAACAGAAGGGAGACATCATATCTTTGTATCTTTTAAGTAGAAAAAAGATGCCAAGGAAAACATACTAAATTTTTTGGAGGAACAAGATATTTTTCTGAATAATTACCTCTACAGAAGTTACTTTTAGAGTTCCACATCAGAGGCAGTGGGTGACATAAAGGGGTAACGGCCTTGAGCTCAGGGCCTCCCCCTCTGAGGCTGTACTGGTGGTGGTGGCATCTTCTTAAAGCATCGTGTGATTCAAATACATTATTTTCTAGATGAGCAACTTCATCTGTAGATAGAAACCTAGAAAAAGTGAGATTCGATGAACTTTAAAATACCATTTGTAAACATCATTGATTTCCAAGACTTAAAAACATCTTTAATTATAAAACTAATGCATATTTATGGTAGAAAATGAAAATACAGATGTTAACTGTATTTTTTCTGTGTGTGTATATATAGAAATACTGAATGTAAATACCACATATAAATTGAATATATTTAAATAATATGTACCCTATCAATACCTTATAGCCCTGTGGTGGCAAACTTATGGCACATGTGTTGTTTTTCCTTTAAGACAAAAGATGTTAATGTATGAGTTATTTTTTCTAAATCAAAACCTCAGTATTCAGGTTTAATTGCAGTATTGGCACTTTGGGATAAGCAAGTAGGTTTTGGGTGGTAGTTTGGGCACTTGTCTCTAAAAGGATCGCCATCACTACTCCCTAATCATAACATTTTGGGTTACTCTGTTTTTTTGTTTTTTAAAAGTAATTTGATCAGGGCCAGGGATTTAGCTCAGTGGTGTTGTGCCTGCCTGGCAAATGCAAGGTCCTGATTCAATGCCTGGTTCCAAAAAAAACCCAAAATTTGATCATATGATATATACCTTTTATACTAGTCTCTAAAATAATATTTATATTTTCCTGTTGTATTTGCTCTTCACAAAGTATTTTAATATCTTCATTATGTCTTTAGAAAGCTTGGTTGTGCCTCTCTTGCCCTCCATGCGGTTGTATTTATTTGACCACTCATTTGTAGGTTTTTTCTTGTATTGACCTTTTAAATATGAGCAGTCCGTCTAAGAGCCCTTCTCAGCCCCCTTGTTTTTTCGGTACCGGGGATTGAACTCGGGACCTTGCGCTTTTGAGGTAGGCAGCAGCACCACTGAGCTGAATCCCGGCCCATCAGCCCTCTTTTCCTTGATCCCATCACCTGCTCTGCACAGCTTTAGCTGTCGCTTCAAGCCACTCTGAGAACTTCAGCTCCAACTGTGGCCCCTGAATCGGATGGCTGCTGAAGGGCTCCTTGGATGTCCTGGAGGTGTCACCCAGAAAGCTTGTTCAAAGGTTCCTCATCTCTCCAGGGCAGCTTGTCTTCCACTGTCCCCTGTCTCACTGTCATGTCTCTTAGTTGCTCACTCCAGGAGTCTCGCATCCTAGATTTTCCCTTTCATCCCATGTTAATACCTGAGTTACTAACGAAACAAAAGTTCATACAAAAACTTCAAGTTCAGGATTGGAGCCTCCCCTGTGCATCAGACATTGATTAAGGCTCTGAAGATGGAATAGTGAAAAACACTGAGCCCTGTTCTTGTGGAGATAACATTCTGACTGGAAAGACAGATAGATAGGAAATATTGCAAGGTTAGGTAAAGATGCCAGGGAGAGAGGTAGAGGGTGCTCTGCTGTTATAAGATGGCACAGGAACCTGAATAAGGTCAGGTAACAAGCCAGGCCAGGTCTGGGGAAGAGCCTTCAGGGAAGGACAAACACAGCCACTTCCCCAGAGTGGGACGAACAAGACCAGTGTTGGTAGGAGATAATACTGAAGGAGAAATGGGGGTGAGGTTTGTGGCCTCCAAGGGCAGAGGGTAAGGACTCTGGATTTTATTGTGAGCAAAACAGAAAGATTTTAAGAGAGATTCCATGGCTGGATTGGAGAGAGCAAAGGTGGAAGCTCAGAAACCAGTTCAGAGGTTTTCTAGTAGTTTGAGTAAGAGATTATGATGGTTTAGATGGTCTCACGTGGTATGGAAGAGGTGATGAGAAATGTTCATGTTTTGGATTTATTTAGACAAGAATTTACTGATGTTTAGATGGAAATGTAGGAAAGAAAGTCGAGGGTGTCTCCTAGATTTTTGGTCCAAGCATTTATTTAGGCAGGAAGAGCACCTGACTGGACTGAAGTAGCACTGAGCATGTCTGGTCTTTCTGCCCTTCCATCTGTTCATGCTCAAGGTAGCTTCCTACAGCACAGATCTTACAGCACAGTTTGCTTCTGGAAGCTCATGGCTCCTCGTTGCCTGCACACAGAAGGGTGAAGTCTGTTCATTGTTTAATTTGCAGACATCTTGGTGAGATCATAGTATGAAGCAGCTCTCGTCTTTCTGTGGTAGGATTTTTTTAATTGTACAGTAGATACAGTGTAGTAAACAAAATAATTTTAAAGGATCCTGTATTGGGAGGAAAAGGTAAGACTGCCAGTTGGGATTTGGCACCAAAAAGAAACTCTTGCACTGTGTGCAGTTACTATCGTGGTCACCAATTCCACTCCAGTTAAAATATTAAGATGTATGTGTGCATGTAATTTACCCACACTTTTGTAAAGGGTATGATCACTTCTGTTGACTAGTTGATAGGCCGGGTGATCGTGTGTGTGTGTGTGTGTGTGTGTGTGTGTGTGTGATAGATGCTGGATTACAGTGATGGCCAAATTACACAGAGGTGTCTCTCTTCTTAAATTTAATAGTCCAGTGGGGGGAAGTACCTCTGAAATAGCCATTTTCTGCAGATGAAACACACACATTCTGCTAGGAGTGTCTGCATATTTTGTTTTGGAATTTGTTAAATAGTATCTTAGAGCTAGGGCTAGACTATCCTTAATTTCTGTTTGAAACTCCTAAATAGCAAGATTCTAATGAAGTAATTATTCCTCTGCCATACGGCTTATGTTCAAGTTGGGATTCACCTTCAGGTTGTCTGATCTCAGAGCCTTAACCACTATGCTGTATAACTTGTTATGATCTTATGATGATGATAAATCAAAAAATACAGGTGAATGGAAATAAATACAATTTTCAAGTTTGAGGGAATTTTAAAATGAAGGGAAATAGCAAGAACCTCTTCTCTGAGGAATGTACCAGTTGTTTTCTTTTGGCTTTCTATAAGAGATCACATAGCTTTGCTGTTATTTTAAATTTTCAGTACATATAGGATGTGCTAAATTCACCAACTGCCTGGGATGAGATTAGGGGCTGTTGCTGAGTGCCTGAGTCAGGACGTGCATGAGAGCACCAGGAGGTGTTCATGAAGCCATGGCACGTGCTGTCGGACTTCAGGTGCTGTGAAGTCTCATCGCAGGTAGGGTGTAGGTTTTAAAGGCAGGGCAAGGTGAAGTGCATGCAGTTAGAATTACCTTTGAAAGCCCCGTTTCCATTAGCCTTTGCTGCTGCTGCCCGTAGCCAGGCCACCTCAATTATTGAGGTCGTCTTCTAACGGTTCTTTGTTCCTTGCCAAACTCTCCTGTCGCCTTGCTTCCGCAGTGCCCAGGAAGATCTTGTAAAATGTAAACCTGAACACCTCATTCCTCTGCCACTCCCTTACCTAGCTCCCTGCCCCTCAGTGAGAGCCAGGCTCAGCGCTGCCTGCAGGGCCTGAGTGAGGGGAGGCTGAGCGCACACTCTTGGCCGCTCTCCTGCTGCCCGTGGTGTGGCTGCCACGCTGTATTGGCCATCCCTTCTTGCTGTTGCAGGTTAGCTCCCGCCTTGGCACCTGTGCCCTTGCTCGTCACGCATGTCTGCGTCTGAAAGTGCTGCATGAAGTAACTGACTTGGAGGAGACACTGTGCACAAGTCTGAGGGGAGAGCTGCCTGAGTTGGACATCCTTTCCCCCTCCGGGGTGTAACTGCAGCGAAGCTTCACAGACTGTCCTGTGTAGGGTGTCGCGTCCTATTCTCCTCGGCTCGGCCCTTTTTCTCTACAGCATTTAGCACCATCAGACATAATGTATAGTGTTTGTGTATTTTTTATTATCTTCCCCAACTAGAGTGACCATTTCATGATGACAGGGACTTTTGGATATTTTTGATCACTGCTGTATCCCATGCACCTAAAACATTCCTTAGTCCCGAGTAGGTGCTCAATCACTATTTGTTCACTAATGATTAAAGTGCCTTGTTAGTTTCCATAATATTCTTTAAATATGTTGTATATGTTCAGATAGGGTAATTTAGGCTCCAGGGTATATGACTAAGAAATACTTGGTCGACTGCTGGGATCACAACCCTAGTTTTTTGCCCAGGCAAGACAGTATATCATAAAGACCTTTTTCAGACCAATCTTCACTTAATGTTTACTTACTCTCATGAATTTAAAAGCAAATATTTTAAGATAATAAAGAAAATTGGGAAAAGAAATTGTAAGCATGTTTTCTTTACCCCATGATAGCTTATTTTATTTATCTCCTAGGTCTCCTGACTACTTTTAACAGAGAAATAATCCTACCTATATTCTTCCATGAGTAGATGTTTAATCCCGTTACTACCTCTGTTCATCAGAGAACACAGAGTGGCTCTGAGAACCACAGAGAAGCCCACAGAGTCCCTTCCTGACTCAGCCTGCTGTGTGGGCAGGACGGGTGTTTCTCCCCTGCCTCGCCCACCGCCTCACTCTTCCAGATGACAGCGTGCAGATTTGCACACAGCTGCAGCACAGGATCCTCCCCGGGGCTGCCACTCTTGAGTTGGTGCTTCAGAGAGACTGGTGTTACCTTGTTTAAACACTGCAGTTTGAACTAGAGATGGAGTCTCGTGGGTTTTAATTTCTGAATAAAATTGATTAAGTCTGAATTTAGTATGTGATAAGTGGTGGTATCACCTTAAAACTAATTGTGTCTGTCTTTTTTAGGAGATCATGAATCAGGCAGATAAAAATCAACAAGAAATCCCATCCTACCTTAGTGATGAACCGCCAGAAGGTAAATATGCATCTATAACACTAAGTATGAGAGGAATTTCCTGGTGAATTAAAGCTCTGATTGTTTTTATTAACTGTAAAGAATCATAGCCTGTTTACCTGGTGAGTGAATACATCCCCAAAATAATTAACCATTTTTAGCCTGAAATAAAGAAGCACAGATATTGGTGAATAGAGACACAACTTAAGTGTATTTTCTGACCGCCCTCTATTTTTGGATCATTTCACAAGTCAGAACATCCTTTCATCTGTGAAGGTACAGGTAGGTGTACAGAGGGTGGCCTGTGTCTACTTCAGATGTCCTGCATATCAGAAAGTGCCCACAGTAGCGTTTGAGATGTTGAACGGTTACTCCCTGCACTGGAATGGTAGCTCCCTTTTGATACATGGTCTTGGGGCTGCTTAACTTGGCTTTCTAAATCATAATTCTTTTTCAGTTTGAAAATTGTGACATTATGAATCATTTTACTTCTAAAAGCTTTGGAAACATTAATTGTCCCTACTCTGGTCCTGATTTCTTATAAAAAGTGACTATAGACATTTTTTATTTATGATCTTAGTATCCAGTGATAGTGAACCTTTTAGAGCTTTCAAAGATACAATAACCCGCCAAGGTGTGCTTCCCACAGGTTCCCACCAGTGGTATAGACTGCTGTTAAATTTAATATATGTAATTATAAAACTTAATATAAACAGTGAGCTCCTTGGAGAACTGCATGCAGGTTGCTAGAAGTCCTGACTCTTGGCATTGCATTTTCTTCCCAATTCTGTTACCCACTGTCTGAATTTTCTTTATATATTGCAGCGTAAGCAGATGAAATTGCTAGGAAAATGATACAATGAAAAACTTCACTTAGGCCCAAAAGGAGTTGACTGGATTTAATTTAGTTTATTTGGTAGAATAGCCTAGAAAATTACTAGCTCAGCTCTTTTCCTTGCCTTATTTTTAGGACGAGAACCATAGCGTTTTGAAAAGAAGAGCTAGGTCTCAGTCAGTGTTAATAAGCAGTTCGTGGGAAAGAAGTAAGAAAGGGACAAGTAGAGGCACCCGGGAGCCTCAGGAATGTCTTCATGTGCCCACTGCTTAAAAAGCATCTTTTATGTGGTGATAATTAAGAATACACTAATTAAAGAGATAACTTAATATCTATCTTATTTGATTATGCAAAATCATTTGTCCTCATTAAATGCATGCGTACCAAATTTAGCAAAGCAAGATAGTTTTGCAAATGAGGTATCTGGCATTTGGCTAGTCATCAGCAAGCCTCAATCAGAGTTTTGCTGCTTTTCCTCATTTTTTTGACCTTAAACACAAAAAGTTACTTGTTAGGGATTCTTTTCCATCATAAGTTTGACATATCCAGATGCTTGTCTTTTAGCCATTTAAAATTTTATGTTAATTTGCTTACAAGTATTTTTTGGCACTGGGGATTGAACTCAGGACCTTGCATGTGCTAGGCAAGCAAGCTTTCTGTCACTGAGCTACATGCTGAGCCCCACTGCTTAGTTTTACTGAAAGCATTTGGTTAGTCTTGTAAAAAATGCAGTCATTGCTCTACCCATACCTGTATACTATTTTGATTAATCAATGTGATTTTTCCACTTATGATAGAATGTAAAAGCTCCAAACAATGAAAAAAAAACTAAGGTAAATTTGGGCTTTGTGTATTAGAAAACTCGATTTCCAGAATTTTTTCTTTTTTCTCCATTAAATATTAGCAGATTCCGTTACCTTCTCTCTGCTAGGATCTGGTAGCTTGGTGCTGTCGCCTGGACCTGTGTTCCCAAGAACTTGGCTCTTGTATGAGATGGCGCTTTGTCAGTGGGTGAAGATTGGATTTATAGTTAGCAAATACTTTTCCATGTTGTTTCTGCCTAACTTACTGTGTTCGCTTGAAAGCTAGTGCAATCAGAGTTGGTGGAATCTCCCTGTTAGTCATCTCAGGAGTTTGAAGTTACATGTTAATTTGTGTGGTCCCACTAAAAAACAATTTCTAAGAAACCTAACTCATGACGTAAAGTTTTCTTCTGGCATTACCTTTTCTTGGGTATCTGCGGAGTGTTATAAAATGAAAGATGTTGGAAGCACAGATTCCGTCCTGTAAGAATTACTGAGGGAGGGCCAGGGATTTAGCTCAATGGTTCCGGCGCCTGCCTTGCAAGGGCAAGGTCCTGAGTTCAATCCCCAGTACCACAAAAAAAAAAGAGTTACTGAGGGAATGACAGACATGTTACCATGCTGTAGTCTATCCACCTCATATGTGTGAATAAAATGACTTTAGGCGATATGACTTTAAATAATGACTAGTTTAATTTTCCTGTCTTGTCACAGCATTAGCCCTTTAAATAAATTTTGAGGGACACAGCTGGTCAGAGATCCAAATGTATTTAAGTTAGTGATTCCCAGACTTTGGTTTCAGGTCACTCTTACATTCAAAAATTGAGGCCTCAGAGAGCTTGTGTCTCTGCCATATTAGCAATAAAAATGGAGAAATTTTAATCTTTTATTCACTAAATAAACCCAACAGACCCATTCCATGTTAGCAGAATTAACATGCTTTTATGAGAAGTACTGCTTTCCAAAACAGCTGTCCCTGCGAGGTGACAGTTCTTCATCGTCTCCAGTCTGGTGCCGCCTGCCTGAGGAAGGGAGGTCACCTGATGGCTGTGCGCTGCTCGAGGGGGCAGCGCATTTGACTGTCTCATCATGTTTTCTCTCGTTAGGTGCCATGAAGGACCATCCGCAGCAGCAGCCAGGCATGTTATCCCGAGTGACCGGGGGTATCTTCAGTGTCACTAAGGGAGCTGTTGGCGCCACCATTGGTGGTGTGGCTTGGATTGGTGGGAAGAGTTTGGAGGTGACCAAGACAGCTGTTACAACTGTGCCTTCCATGGGAATAGGGCTGGTGAGAGGGGGCGTGTCCGCTGTGGCTGGAGGCGTCACAGCGGTGGGGTCTGCCGTTGCCAACAAAGTGCCCTTAACAGGAAAGAAGAAAGACAAGTCTGACTAAGATAACGGAGATACACTTGCTCTCCACCGAATTACGATGCCAGGGGCATTGAATTGCTACGTCATGGACTACAACCAAGTCACCTGTTTTGGATGCTCATCTTCTAAACTGCTGTGTTGAAAGTATTGATGACTGGCTCTCAGCTAAAGAGACCAATACTAGCACACAGTGTATGAAGGGTTCTCATACTTCAGTTCGAGCTTTTTATCTGGTAAAATGTTATACTCACTCAGTTGTAACTGAAGATATGGTATGTCTGAATATTTCTCATAAGTCTTTGAGTTTGACTAAAATGTGAAAGTTGAATTTCGTAGATGATCTTTACAGTTCCATATGTACAGTGTGCCAGGTAACTGTGCCCCTTGCCAAGGGAACCTTGGACTCCATAAACTGTACCTTTGACGTGCCTAATAGTTTCAGATGTCTTAGTTTTTTAAAACAATAGTTGTTCAAGCCAAAAGGCATTCTTTTCCTGTTTAAGCTGGCAAAATAGCGGGAATTGGAGAAGTGTAAAAGTTAAATGGTTTGATACAAGTTATCTTGGATCTTTTGTTAGATATGCATCCTGCTCATTTAATCATTGATGCCTTACGAGAGAAAACATCTTTTCTAATACCTTCATATGTGCAGTTCTTACAATTATCTTTGGATTCTCTTGAAGGTTGTGAAATAGGTTTTCCCTCTTAAGAATCTCAGGAGTGGGGGTCTGTGGCTGAGACAGCGCTTGTGAACAGTTAGTCAGATCGTGCACTCGGACCCGCGTGCATGCTCACCATTAACACACCTCACAGTGCCTAAGGAATGTCTGTCTCCTAGCTGTGTTAGAAGGTTTCCTATTGAGGAGGAACAGATGTTAAAGTTTCTAAGAAGTACTTAAAGCACGCAGGATATAAAGAGTCCTTCACGCCTGTTCTTTTGGTAAAATGTCTTAAAGTAGCAGTACGCCCTTTAAAAAACAAAAGGGACCACAAACATTTGAGGACTGACTTTCGAATGAAATGGGCTCCATAGATCAGTTTTGAATGAAAATAGGTGTGCTTTTAATGATTTCTGTAGGCTTCTAAAATATGTTGTCTTCTAGACAGTCTTGTGAAGCAGCTGTACACTGTGCTGTTTTCCAGCCACTTTCCAGCAGGGAACTGGAGTTTTGATGACAGATGGGAAGCATGTGGTGTCTCAGCATGCTGCCATCGTGGCTTGTCCGTTCCCAGGACGATAACTTGGCTGGAATAGTTTCTGTGCTCAGCTTCACGAGCATGCTAACTAGTGGCATATGTATTTGGCATTCCTCTTTCACCTGAGGGTCATAACCCAGGCCTGAGGAGTCTCAGGTCTGGAGTTGTGCACATTCTCTCCCCTCCAAGGAGGAGGCAGGCAGCCTCAGCCTGCTGTAGTTAAGTCAGGACCGTGTCTGTGGGAATTCAGACAGAACACTCCAACACCTGAGGGGGAAATGCTCGTTTGTAAACCATTAGAGTACTGCATTAGTAATATGGATTAACAGATGGGTAAGATGATAACCTTTAAAAGCTTTCATAAAGACCAACAGGGATTTTGAGCAAATCTACAAAAGTTCTGGAACTTTTCTGCTTATACAAAACTGAAAAATTCATTAAGGAGTTCAATCAAATGGGTCATTTAGTTCATGCAATATATTGTTGGTTTATTCTGGTCAAATGTTTTAATTATCAAACGGGATCTTTTTTAAAAACTCCAAAAGTAATAGTTGAATGCTAAATTATCTAAATAATGGTATTGGAGAACTTGATTCCTATTTTGAAGAAATTACTGCTTCCTTGCTAGTTTGTATTTCTAACTTATCTTCTATAGTCATAGGCTCTGCTGTGCTTTGTACCCGAATTTCTTCTAAGTATAGACTTTGGTTTACTGTATGCTTGCCTATTTATATTTCCAACTTTGCTTGTTCTTAAAATTGCTAAAGGAAAAATGGTTATAATTTCTCCTACAGACAAGCCACCTGGTACATTTTATCTCATCAAGATTTTCTGCAGCTTGAAGCTACAACTTAGTTGAGAGGGGCAATCGGTGCCGCGTGGGTGTGGCCTCAGGTGCTTCCTCTCCTACGCCTTCCCAGGTATGCGTAGGCCAGCAGCTGGCCTGAGACAGGACCACCTCACTTCCGGAGACTGAGCCTGGAGTCGCCTGGAGGCGTCTGTTGTTCGTTTACCTTCTGAGTGGGTATTTGTGACCCAGGACCCATCTAAAATGTTGACATTACAAATCCTGTACTAGTGAAATGTCAGATGAAATGATTGAATACTTTCTCTGTATTAAAGGGATGGGCAAAGAACACATGAATTGTTAGTAAAGCACTATGGTCTGCAAAAAATGTAACGTTTTGTAAAGATCTAAAGAAATAAGGGAAAACTTTGGACAATCTTAAAAACCTTTAGTTACATAGCAGTTCAGTATGTGCTGTGATCAGTCTTTAATTTTTGTGGTGATAATGTACAAACCTGACATCCCAGAATATGTATTTTGATGCCAACACAACAGTGAAATACAGATATATTTTAAGCAACTCTAATAAAGATTAGAAATGCGGAATCCTAGGCTTCCCGTGCGTGACTGCGCCATGACCCCGTCCGCAGCTGTCCCGCAGCCCGAGGTAAGGTAACCCGAGGGCGGCCGAGTCTGCCTCTGGCTGGGCCTGCGCCGTGTCATTCAGCCTCACTCACCAGCGTTCCTGTTTAAGCACAGAAGCAGCAAAGTGGCCCTGTGGTCGCGTTCCCGTGTCGCTTCTGCATGAGCCGGGTCCCGGCCTCGCACTCGGTCCAGATGGGCCGTGGGGGCCCCGAGCGCGGCCCCTCTGGCTGTGGCAACAAATCCAGCCCGCCGCAGAAACGACGAGTGTAATTACACGGAAACCGCCTGGAGAACAGATAATTCTGTTACGAGCGCTCCTTCCCTAGAGGAAATAAAACACGGCTCCAGCGTTGTTCTGGGAGCCCTCTTCTGTATGCTGTTGGTTTTGAACTCTTAAAATTCTGTTTCGTAGGGCACTCTTCTCATTAGGGGTTTAATTGTTGAGTTACTCTGACCCGGGCAGGTCGGCTTCGCGCCGGCGGCTGTGGGGCTAGCTCGTCACACCCTGCACCGCTTACAGCCCGCTTTGGCGTCCCGGCTGAAACGGACAGACGGGCGGGCCGGCCTAGGAGGAGGTCCAGTCGGCGTGCTCCCTCCCACGCTCAGCTTTGCCGAGCTTTCTGACCTGCCCCCTTGCGGGCTCCTTTCCACTGTTCCAGCCCCGCGCCCCTCTCCCGCAGCTCCCTCCCCACCTGTCTGCAGCCGTGGGTGTGCCGTGGGTCCGCCTGCCCATGAACAGCTTTTCTAAACAAAGGTGCGGAGTCTCAAGCTCCTCTTAAATTTCCTTGACAGCAAACTTGCTTGAAAACCTGACTGTGGCTCCTGCCCTTCCCGGACTCGCGTTGTCTGTTGTCTTCGCAGCCCCCTTCCCCTGGCCTTTCCCCTTCCGCAGCCCGGAGCCTCAGGAGCGCGAACCGGCCTGCGCGGTGCCTCTGCCTCAGCAGGCAGTGTCAGCTCCTCGTCCTCGTCCTCTTCCTCCTCATCAAGGCCTCGCCAGCTCACCTCCAGCCGAGAGCTCCATTGCTGAGCCTCCACCCGGGCGCAGCTGACGCCGTGCTGCGCGGTGACCACACCCAGAAGCCACGGGCGACCACGCCACAGCGCGAAGGACAGCGCACTGGAGCCACAGGACGAGGCGCTTGCCTGTCTCGGGCTGACCCCGTCCGGTCTCGTCTCGCAGTCCAGCTCTGGACTTCCTGGCTGCTCGGTTTTCCTCCTATTTCTTGCTCTGTGGTGCTGGGGATGGAACCCGACCATGTGAGTGTGACAAGCGCTCTGCCAGTGCGCTCCGTCCAGCCTCTGCCTCTGTCCTGTGCCTGGCAAACACCCCCAGGGCCTCCGGTCAGCGACTTAAGCAGGTGCTGCCCGGGGCTCCAACTGAACAGGTCTGGCGAGCAGCGACTTGCATTTGCTGAAAGAAGGGACAGAGGATGCACCTGCGTGCCTCCCCGTGTTTTCAGCATACTTAAAAGGCGGTGCAAACGCTGGGCACAGATGTCCAGGGTCAGCCAGCTGTGGCAGTGTAAGTTAGAAAGGTCAGATTTCACCGCTGAAAGCCAGCGAGCCAGTCCTTATCTGGGTAATGTTCATCTTGGAACAAGTCAGACCTGGAAACTTGGAGACTCAACCACTCCAGTCTGCACCAACCGCTGCACCTTTTTCCGTGCAGGCAAACCTGGATTTTTCAGAAAGTTTCCTAGAAAGCTGCATTTATTGAAAATGTATTATGAATTGGTAATTTCAGATTAAGAAATCTTACAGAGGAGTGACAGGTCCCCCAAGTTGGACCCCCGCCAAGCAGACCCGCTACCCGAATCCACGGGGATAACAAGCAGCCAGCAGCCATCACCTGTGGGAGTCGAAACTCTTCCACCCTCTTCAGCAGTGCCCCTCCCCTACCTAAAACGCCCCATGTCAAGCACGAGCACCCTCCTCTCCGTGCCAATGCCCTCGCCCTTGGCCCATCTGCACCGAGATGGCAACAAACTCATCCCATGTTGCTAAGACTTTGCCTGCCTTGGTCTGACCTTACAGGAAAGTGTTTTTTTTTTTGAGAGAGAGGGTCTTGATTTGTAGTTCAGGCTGGCATCGAACTTGCTATGTAGCCCAGGCTGGCCCCAAACTCATGGTGATCCTCCTGCCTCAGCCTCCCAAGCACTGGGATTACAGGTGTGCACCACCATGCCTGGCTACAGAACAGGACATTTTCATAGAAACTTCAAATTTGTTTGCACTCATTCCAGTTTTGGTAAGGCAGCAGTGTGACTTCCGTTACGCCAGTCCCTCCCTCTCTTCTGTTCACAAGGTTTGAACAGAATCCTTTTAGATCTTAATAAATCTGGGCTGTACCAGCGGGCACGGGCCTGCTAAGCTCTTTCCTCCTTGTAGAGGGACATGATGAATGTGAGTCAGTGTCCCCCAGAAAGATGAGGCCAGTTTTACCAAAATGAGCCCCCAAATAGGCTATTCTTTTGGTTATATTTTTTGGATAATACTTGATTCTCCAAGATATTTATCCCCAAATCAGATGAAGCTGTTTTCTTAAGAAGTGTAGCAGAAGGTGCTAATTTTTTACTTAAGGCTAACCTGCAAAATTCAGACCACAGGGGAGTGGAGTTCCAGGCTGGTAGTGAGGAAGGTAGATTTGCATCTGAGACAAATGTGCTGCGTGAATGGAAACTGCCTGTAGGCTGAAGTAAGTTTCTTAGAAATTATTCACTTACAAAATGTCACACAGATGCACCAGTTCATTAGTACATAAGTTTTAGGAGTAACAGTTGAAGGATAAAGTTACCAACTTTATTTAAAATAAATGCAACTACTTGAAATTTAAAATGCAGCACATGAAGGAGAGATCATGTTTCGAAGTGACTTTAAACACAATTCAGAAACTAAGGAGGCCCTTAAAGCAATGGGTGACTCAAGCAGCCAGAAGTGCATAATCGCTATAAAAGTTTCACTGGGCTGTCAGTCACTCTTCAACATTTAATGGTGCCACGGGATTAAACAGAGGCCTTTCTCTTTTGGCTTGAATTTTGCCAAAGTTAGCCTCAAACTCCTTTTTTGTACCATTTAGATCTGCTAGATGTCCATCCTTTATTCTGTAGCCTAAGGAATTTAGTTTCCTTATTCTGTACTGAACTATTTGTGGTGTTAACTCAAGAACCATTGGCGTCTCTCTTATCTGAGCTATGGAAATCCCTTCTTTCACTAACCCTCGAAGTCGCTCTTCTAAAACTGGAACAGAATAATACAAAAGAGCAGGGCATTTCAAAACTAACTGCTTCAGGTCAGGATCTGTGCATTCAAAAGCATTTTTCGCGAAGGAAATACTGTTCTGTATGCCTCTTGGGCAAAGATGAAAAAGGGACCCTTTGAGTTTGGACAGAAGCTGAAGTATTTCCAAGTCCGTGAAACCTTGCTCCTGGAGAAATTCTAGTGTTTCTCTCACGGCCGCAGGAGAATTGAACAAAATAAATGGATTCTGGCTTAATAATTTCAGTAGCCAAACTTTCATGTTGGCCTCAGACCCGCCTCTGCTCAGGTAACTGTCCCGGAGAAAGCAAATCATTTGCTTATTCTTCTCCACAGGATTATGGAAAATACTGGAGGCAGCTGTCAGAAACCTGCTGATAACCACACTCCTCAGTCCCAGCTCCTGAAAGAACTGAATGTTCAGCCTGAGGTTCTCCTGGTCGCCGATGGTGAAGAAGGCCCCTGGACACTGCTCTATCAGCCTGACTAACTCGAGCTCACCTCTGCACACCAGCTGCCATAGCTCCCTCTGGGCGGCGACCGCAGTCGGGCTGCAGACCACGGCTTCCGGGCAGCGTTCCAGGATGCTGGCCACTGTGGCTGCGTCGGCACCCAGTTCTCGCAAAACACTCGCCACCTCTTCCACGTAGGTCTCCTCCTCCAGAAGCACCCATCCTTTGACTCTACGGATTCTCCTGACGTCAACCGAAAACTCGCGGAGCTTTTCTACTGTCCTCTTGTTTTCTTTCCCAGACTGGCTTCCGGTTGTCAGGGTGCAGTGTGCTGACGGAGGTGCGTAGGTGGCCGCCCACTGCGCTGCTCTAAGGGGACACGGCCCGTGGGGTCGTGATCGCAGCAGCAGCAGCAGCGTCCAAGGCACGCGGGTCATCCTGGGCATCTCGGGTGGGCGCGGGCTCAGCTGCGAGAGAGAAGAGAGCTGAGGTCGGCAGGAGGTGTGGAAACACACTGTGCTCGGGATATTTAGGGCGCGCTAAGTGCTGAATCGCTGCCGTGCACTTCATGACCCAGCTTCCTACTTCTCTGCTACGTGAGCTGGGGTAATCTTGTGCGGTGGTCACTTCCACTTCGCAGGCAGCAAGACTCCGGAGCTTCGAGCTTCACCGGGCTAGATGTTACCTGACAGACTCCTTGTCTACACAGCTACCTCACGCACGCACCCACAAGCACAAGCTTAAGAGATGGCTTTCATTTGTGCAGTTGATGTTCAGCAGATACTTTTATTAGGAAAGGGGAGTCATTTCATTTTATATTCCACAGTAAATTTGCCAAATACCTATCACTCAGACTAGGTCAGTTAAATTTGTTTTAAATTAGTTAATAAATACACGCTTGTTTTATTAGAGTTATGTGAATGGTGCTCCTCTCTTATGAACCCAGAATTAAAATAAATCTTAGCCAGGGTGATGCGAGGCTCCAGCTGCCCGCCATAGTGGACCCCAGGGAATCCTGGCCCACCTGCCACCCCGGCTGCTACTTGGCCCGTGCGGTGCTGACACCGTGTGGGATGAGGGGCCAGAGCCACACTGACATAAAACAGATAAAAGGAACAGGCGTGGACATTTATTTAATGCAAGTCTTACAGGAACACGCTCTGAGCTGGACGGCTTCAGTGCCTGAGAGTGTGCGTGGTGTCTCAGCCCCGCGGTGACAGCACGTAACGTGGTGTGGGGCCAGGCAGCTGCTCTGCAGGTCCCTTTAGGATTTGCAGGTCTTGACGGGAAGCACACGCGGCTCTCTAAGCCCTGGCACTAAGATGCTCCTGCCACGCACACAAAGATGCTACACTTTCAACCTGCCCTAGCTACTCCAAATAAACGATCATGCTACAGGGGCAAATAAGGACATTCCCACTTCCTTTACTCTGTAATGACAGCTCATTTTAGTGCCTATGGAGACAAAAACGACTGTAGGCACAGCTTTTGTTGTACTGTACGCGGGTCTATCAGTTCTCTTCAGATAACTCCTAATACCAGTAACCAACATGAAAACAGTCAGGTATCTTACATTTCGATGAAGACACCAATTTTCTCGGGAAGGTGGAGAACAGCCTGATAGCAAGGCAGGGACAGAGGTGTGACTCCTCGGTGACTGCAAGTTCAGCGTCCCCTCGGTCCCGGCTTGTCCCTCACGAAGTCCGGCCCTGGACCAGTCTGTGAGCCCGGGCGGACTGAGCGCCAAGGTGGAAAGTTTCGGACTTGGCCCCCAGGAAACGCTCCTGAAGGCCGTGAGGGCAGCGCTCCGGAAAGGGAAGAGCTGCACTGCGCCTGTGCGGGACTGTGCGGGTTAAATGCAGAGCCCACTACTGGGGAACTGGGGGAGCCAAAGTCGAGGCCATAAAATTTCATTTTAGGCAGAATACAGTATTTACAAAGTGTAGCTGAAAAATGTATTTTAGATGCTCCAGGTTTCCAAAACAACTCTAAAACCGATGCATACTCGCTGCAGAGACGGTGCCAGATTCTGGGGAGTTTAAGCAGCAGAGTCTTATCGCGGCACTGCCCATAGTCCACATTCTGACCTACACGTCCATGTTCTCTCTTTCTTTTTTCCTTTTGGTGCCACTGAGTTTCCTCCCCAGCCAGCTGTTTCTGCTTCTCACTGCCTTTATTGTAATTCTTTACTCACAGCACGGCCGCCTCAGGCCTGCAACTGACTTTCTGAGGTCAGCCTAGACAGCGAACAGCGCAGACTGCCGATTTCCCAGGAGAGACAGTGACCAGGGCCCGGGCTCCTGGTGTCAGAAGCCAACTGGGGCTAAGGAGAGACAGGCGTCTCCTACTTCCTGCTTCCTCCAAGGTGAGCCAGGGGCGTTGTTCAGGAGCTGGCTGGGCCACTGAAACTGTCTGCCTCGCTCTCTGCTGAGGCGGTGGAAAGCACAACTGCCACGAGGAACGTGCCTCCCAGGTGCAGTTTACGTCCTGCTTTCATTTTACCTTCGCTCAGTGTTGCTGTTTTCAGTTTGTCCACCACCTCGGCTGTTCTTGGCTCCACCTTTACTCCTTTCCGGTCCTCTAAAAGCTAAAGCCGATCTGCTCCCCCTCAGCTGATTCTTGCAGATCGCTCTTTCCTCCTCTCCCTGTAGGGCTCTCAAGACAAACAGCCTCCACAGGGTTGGAGCCACTGTGTAGTTCCAGTTCCCGCCCCTGGATCTCTGCAGATTTCAACACAGCCACCTGCTTTCTCCCGGAGACCGCCCTCTCCCCGCGCGGGATCCAGCGCGCCCCTCCGCATGGCGGGCTCCTCCTAGTCCTCGGGGCCTCAGTCACTGCAGCTTCGCACGGTGACCGTCACCTCCCGGCAGATTTCGATGGTACGTCAGGGTGAAGAACCCCCATGCCCCTGCCACAGCCTGGGTCCCCGCCTCCTGCTCCCCTTCCTCGGCCCCGCTACGCTACGGGCGACTCCTAGGGCTTCCCTTTCTTCCTCGAGGACGCTGTCCCGACCTTCAGAACAGGAGCGTCCCGCGCCCTTCTTGGGCTGCGACTCTGGCCCACTTTAGGGGCGCACGGTCCCGTGCTGTTTCCGTCTCAACCCAGCCAGGGCCAGAGGTGGGCACCGCAGCGCCCGACTGCGGCAGGCGCCCTCCCGACTCCCACCTTCCCGCTCCGCTTGGGCAGCGCCCGCCCGCGCTCAGCGCTTCCCGCACGGCGCGGCCCCGAAGAGCTCGGTCCGCCCACTCACCTGGGCCCGGGCGGCCCGGCCAAGCGGGGAGGCGCAGCAGCCCGGCCGGCGGTGACGGGTTCCTGTGAGGCCTCGCGGCGCCCGCGGAGTACTCCAGACTTACGGACACGAACTCGCCAAGTCCCCCGGCCGCCGTCCGGGGCCGGGAACGCGCTGGAGGCCGCCCGCCTGGGCCCTGCTCCCGGCCCGGGCCTGCTCCTGGAGCCGAACCAGTGGGGCCGGCCCGGCCGCCTCCGGAGCGCTCGGCGCCCACGCGGCCCCTCTGTGACCTGTACGACCCGCCGGACCTCAAACCGACGCGGGCGCTCGCGAGGACGGAGGAAGGGCCCGGGCTGCTCCTGGCGAGGGAGCTCCTGGCTGCGCCCCGGTGCGGTCCGCCCGTCCCGGTCCCGGGTCGTGACTCCTCCTGCAGCAGCCCGAGCAGGACGCCCCGCCCCTTTGTGGCCAGTCAGAGCTCGGGAAACTGCCGCGCCCGCAGCACATCCACGTGAGTCCCAGCGCAGCCAATCAAAATGCGGAACACCCCCTACACCACCCGCCCCAAGCCTCGCGGGGCAGAGGCGTGGCTCGGCCCGGAGGTGGGGCGGATGGGGGCGTGGCCGGGCGTGGGAAGCGGCGCGCCGACCCCCGCCGGGCCCCTCCCCTCTCTTTCCCCGCGCTTCGCTTTACGTACTCGGCGCTCCAGTTGCGTTGCCCCATGGAGAACGTCACCATTCGGGAAGAGAAAAGAATTAAAGCCGCCGTCTGCAAAGCGAGCTCTTCGGAACTCCCGGGATGCGAGAGCCGAGCGACCTCCCCGCCTCTCCGTCCCGCCCGGGCCCTGGCCGCGCCCCGCCCAGCGCGCCCTTCCGGGGGACCCGAGGGCTCGGCCGGGGTCGCGGACGCGGACTCGGAGCGCGGCGCCTTCCCGGCTCCGGCGGGCTCCACGCGCGGACCCAGGACCGAGTGGAGCCCGGGCGCCCGTGCAAGGCCCTGACCGCCTCGGGTCCTCGCTCAGCGGCCCTGCTGTTATCCGAGGGTGGGCTCCAGCCTGGCCACGACCGCGATCCGCAGCTAGGAGGGGGACGGGGTAGGCACGGAGAAGCCGCCGCCGCGGGCGAGGACCCACAAACCGACCACAGACTCAGCTGCCGCCTGCTTGCAGTAAACCAACGCCGCTCGTGTGTGTTTTGAGAGAGGGTCTCATTGTGGAGTCCAGGCTGGCCTTAACTTGGGATCCTCTCGTCTCAGCCTGTCGAGTGCTGGGACTGTAGGCCTGCGCCATCACGCTTCATCCCAAACGTTTAAAACAGTGCATTTCTAGGACTACAAAATCCTAGGGAAAAAACTTCAGATGGAGAAATGAGGGAGAGAGACCACTGTATGCATATTATCTTCCAAACAATTTACAAACATGTTTTGAATTTTTGGAAGATCCTGGTTTCTAGTAAGAGATGCATTTAAAATATCAATCATAGCAAATTTGTTAATTTAAGCAAATGTGAAAAACACTAGGTCTCTGGGTAAAGGTTTTTTTATATATATATATAAAATGGAGTACGACTCAGCCATAAAGAATGAGAAACTAGAGACATTTATAGCTAAATGGATGCACACTGAGGCCATACTCTTGAGGGAAATAAATAGGACAGACATGTAAATACCGAATAGTTTCTCTGGTGTGAGAAACAAAGTGTAAATAAGGATCGCAATGTATTATAGATAATGTGGATTAGGGAGAAAAGGTCTAAAGGGAAGAGGAAGTAGGAGGGGTAGGGGAGGAAAAAATATGAGAAAAGGAAAAAACGGAAACAAAATCTTTGTAAATAGGGAAGGGTGGAGGGGTTGAAGGGAGGGCAGGGAATGGGGAAAAAATAACCGAGATACATCATGTACAGGTACAAGATCCCAATGATGAATGTCAGCATATTGGACACCTAAACTGTACCAATAAACTTAAGAGAAAAAACAAAAACACAAAGTCTCTGAAGAGGTTCATTCAGAAGTTTGGTTCTCTTGATTTTTCAAAGTTGTTAGCATAGTTTTCAGTAATAAGAATCTAAGAGTAACTTGCTGAGCAAATAAAAGGTCTCAGACCGCTGGTGCACTGGTGTAAGTTCTGAGCAACAGCCCTTCTGCAGGGCGTGGTGGTGCATGCCTGTAATGCCAGCTTGTGAGAGGCTACGGCACGATTGCTCTGAGTTCGAGGGCAGCCTATGCTACACAGTAAGTTCAAGGCCAGCCTGAACTATATAGTGAGACCCCGTCTCAAAAACAAGACAAAACAACAACAGCCCTTCTAGCTAGGGACCCGCCGTCGTCCAGCAGTGCATCTGCTCACTGAGGGCACAATTGCCACCTCCCTGCCTTGCAGCGACTTCTCTTACCCACAATTTAGACCAGACTGAAAATGCTTTACTCTGTAGACGTCTTTTACGTCCATTTATTCAAAAGCTTGGTTCAGTTCTATTACTTCGTTGTTGATTTTTTTGTCTAGATGACCTGTGACAATGGGGTATTGAGGTACCCCACTAAAACTGTATTAGTGCTTAATATCTGTATAGTTGGGGTCATTCGTATTTGGTGCATATATATTTAGGATTGGCATCTCTTCCTCTTGGACTGTTCCCTTCACAAGGATGTAGTGACCATCTTTGTCTCTCAATTAGTTTTGGTTTGAAATCTACTTTGTCTGCAACTAAGATCGCTACCCCTGCTTTTTTTCAGGTTCCTGTCGCGTGGAGAACTGTTTTCCGTCCTTTTACTTTCAGTCTGTGAATGTCTTTGTGAACTAAGTGCGTTTCTTGTATGCAGCCTATTGTTAGGTTTGCGTCTTGACCCATTCTGCCAGTCCATTTCTTTTGATTGGTGAGTTGAGGCTATTAGCATTGATGGTTATAACTGATAGGTACTGACTCATCCTTGTCATGTTATTTTCCTGTTGCTGGCTCTTTTAATTTCCCCCCTCTCCCTTTAATTTCTTGCATTGCCTGGTGCATTTGCTCTGTTGGTGCTCGTGGAGTTGTGACCCTCTTTGTCTTTTTCTAGGATATTGTTTAGAATTGTGTGGAGTGCTGGTTCGGTATTCATGAAGTTTCTCAGGTGTTGTCAATTTTGAAAGATAGTTTTGCAGGGTATATTAGTCTAGGTTGGAGATTGTTTTCTTTTAGGGATTGAAATACTTCACTCCAAGCTCTTCTTGCCTTGAGGGTTTGCATTGAGAAGTCTGCTGTGATTCTGATGGGCTTTCCTTTGTATGTGATTCGTTTCTTTTCTCTGATTGCTTGTAGGATTTTGTTCTGTTGGGTTTCCGGGATATTGACTATTATATGTCTAGGTGTAGATTTTTCTTGATCATGGCTAGTTGGAGTCCTATATGCCTCACTCATCTGTATGTCAAATTCTTTTGCTCTGTTTGGGAAGTTTTCTGTTATTAATTCTGTGCAGTTTTTTTTTAATGTCATTTGTACTTTCTCCTGCTTTTTTGTGGACACCTATCAGTCTTATGTTATTCTTCTTTGCATCATCTAGCAGCTGCTGGATCAATTTCTCATGGTCCCTTACTATTTTTAAGAGCTCTCTCTCTTCATGGTCACTGACCGTAATCCTGTCTTCTATATCTGATATTCTGTCTTCACATTCGCTCATTCTGCTGTGAATGCTTTCAATAGTTTTTAATCTCCTGCATTATCTGTTTAAATCTGTCTCATGGGTTCCATTTCTTTCCTATGCTGGGCATTCATGGTTTCCATCATGGTCCCGAGCTCATCTATTTTTTTAAATGTTTCTGTTCTAGAATCTCTAATCATATCTTTCATTCTGCACACCATCTGTGGTTATCTGGGAAATTATTTGTTTTGAATTTTTCTAGAGCCTCATTCGTCTGTTTTGTTAAGTCCTGTGCAATCAATGCAAGGTGTCCAGGTGATTATCAGACTTTTCCACTCGTTTCCCCCAGAATTTCCCTTTGGTGAGCTGGCAGCCTGATCTTGTGCCTTGCTTAGGTGTCTTCTCGTTTCTGGTTTTGTTGTTGGTACTGTTTTTGGTTCAGTTCCTGGGTTGATGCTTCAAAATTGCTTATTGTAAGTATCTTTGTTGCTTGTCTTTAGAGCTTTTATGGAATGATTGTTTCTCAGAAGTGTCTTCCAAATATATCTGGTCTTTAGGTTTTGAGTCTCTAATGACTCTTAGGCAATCTCCTTTTCAGTATACCAGGAAGGACAACTGATTAGATCAATCACAACAGTTTAGCCCAAGTGATACAATCAGCAACAATAGCATCAAGCACAGTTTAGAAAATGACAATTTGTGGTAGTCATTAATCTATCACTTTTAAACATGAATTAAATAAAAATTGAGGACCATCCCAAAATATGTCTATAGTGAATAAACTCTTTAATATAGCAACTTTACCCCTCAGGATGGGGAGTTAGAAGGAGTTGGGGAGGGAGGGATGGATAGGTAGAAGGATAGGGAAAGGTTAGCAGTGAGGCCAGAGGATACAGGAAGATCACGCAAACTCTAGGAAACTGTTGAAGAGAAAAGGAGAAGACAGAACAAAAGAACAAATACAAAAACAGAACAACCTAACAGCAATAAGGAGGCTAGAAACTATTCACTTTCCTTTAAAATTAATGACAAGAGAAGGAAAAAGAGAAGAAAGAAAAAAAAGATTCAAATTAGGTCAGGAACAGGAATAAAAAGGGAGAGAAATGAAGAACAAGGTGGGAGGGAGAGAGAAAGAGAAAAGAAAAAAAAGTTTAAAAATGTGGAAAGAGAAAAGAAAAAAAATAGATAAAAATTAGAAAAA